AGTTACGTATTGCTAAAACAGAGTGTAGGACAGTAGGATTAGATCGTCCTGGCCGGTGGAAGTTGTTTGGACTTACTTCCTAGCCCCCATTAGTCCCTGTTCACCTAGCAGTAAAGTAGGTACCTGGTGTAAATCGAAAATTGCGAATTCGTATTCAGCAGGAAAGTTATTGGAGCTCCAATAACTTCATGACATAAACCACTGACTCTTCAGGCTTCTACCCCTTGACTCTTCAGGGCTTCTATGCCCTTGACTCTTCAGGCTTCTACGCCCTGACTCTTCAGGCTTCTCTACGCCCTTGACTCTTCAGGCTTCTACGCCCTTGACCTCTTCAGGCTTCTACGTCTTTGACTCTTCAGGCTTCTACGCCCTGACTCTTCAGGCTTCTACGCCCTGACTTCAGGCTTCTACGCCCTTGACTCTTCAGGCTTCTACGCCCTTTGACTCTTCAGGCTTCTACGCCTTGACTCTTCAGGCTTCTACGCTCCTTGACTCTCTTCAGGCTTCACGCCCTACCTTCAGCCACGCCCGACCTTCAGACTTCTACGCCTTAATCGTGGACATAAAGGCAAGCATGAACTTAGCATGCTTCCCTGTTGGGCGCTGTAAACGCTTTGCGCTTACCTACACAAGGATGTAGGGAGGGCCAAAACAATAAAAAAAGTAGGATTAGAAAAGCGACGCGGCACGCTGTCACGCACCCCTGCCAATAGACTTGAAAATGTGATGGTGGGGCTGGTCTGCAAGTCGCTACACTATTCGGCTGTTTTCATCTTGTTAAATGTATCCAAAAGTTGTACTTGATAATTGAATAACTTTAAGACAAACAATGGCAGACGGCGGGAGTTGGTTGAGGTAAGATTATTTGAGTAATCAACTGATTAAAAAACTTCCTTTAGGTAGTAGCTTGTAGGACGTCTCCCCTACAAACCGCGAGCTGCACACCACCTGCTACCGTCTTCTAGCAACCAAGCGATCCGCATTCCAATGCCCGCCAGATCCTAGCAACCCGACCCAAAGGTCAAGTGACTTCGGTTCTCCTAACATGACCATAGCTGCTGGGTATATAAGCTCTGTTCTCCACATTGAGATTCATTCCACCATTCTTCTTGAACAAGCAACACCTCCTCCTCAGCCGCTGCCTGGCAGCCCCTCGATCTCCTCGCTGCCCTGCCTGGCGTCCTCGCTCCCCGCCAGCGAGCATGTCCTTCTCTGAGCTTCCTCACCAACCAACTCTCATTCTGCCCATTTTCCTGAACAAGCAAAATCTCCTCCAGCAAGCCCTAGCTGTCCAGCACTATTCAATCAGGAGGCCAGCAACAGGCAACATTCTAACGAAGCTCCTGCACATCTACCTCCTACAACACGCTACTCACCGAACGTCTTCTACTGAGCAGCCCCCTCACCAGACGGCATCTCCAGCACCAGACTGTCTCATATAACTTATATATATTATACAAGAAAACCACATTAGAGTTTCCATCCATCCTGAGTGCTAGACAACATTAATACATCGATACCCGTACAAGCTCATAGTATACAGTATTTGCCATGCAACTAAAGAGCACCTGTCAGCCAGCTTTTAGGTTTGAGCGGCTGATGTCATTTTCCAAGATAGACTATATAAGCCAATCTCACTTAACAGCCTAATAATCAAACTTTATAAAGTTTGGTTGGCTCGTGTCGTCTGCTTTTGATGAATGACGTCACAGCCTATCAGCCTATATGACGGGCATTTCCCAACGTGTTTACATTCTTAGCAGTCATCACAAGAAAATCACTAGGGACAATTGATAAAATAAACTTTAATCTACTTCATGCTGACAAACTTGGTTTTTTCACCAATGCTTGAAATCAGATGGCTCGAACCTAACCTATTATAAACGATCTTAGATTCTTAGGATTGTTTTTGGATGACTCAGTACTGTATAGATTTTGTTGGTTTGCATCGCCTAAAATAGAACATTAATTTTCCCGGTACTGTTCGTGTATATCTTTAACGTTGGTAATTAAGTTTAATTTAATCTCTAATCAGTACCACTATGCTCGCTAGTTAAATACATGTTTACGTTCCTATTACGGACAATTTTAACATTATCTTTAAGTCTGGTTCTTATAGTAGTGGACTCACGGTTTCTTCTCGACATGGTCAATGTCGTATTCGGTGAGCATGGTGAGGCAGAGCTCCTGACCCACCGTGAAGCCGTTATTGAGTGAGTAGTTGAGGTAGCCCCCACCTGTTAGCGCATCGAACTGTGGACAGTGGAGATAAAAAACTTAACCTAACATAACTTAGATACACACAACATAAGTACTCTGGTGGATATAATACCATAATATGCACATTTAATATTAGAATTTTGCAAGCTGAAAATCAAATTGCCACCAAAGCTAACTTGAAAGTGAAATGGATCCCATAGTACTTAAGACCCTTGAACAGTGTAGACATTGATGGAAACTACTACACGAACTGTGCGGTAGTTAGTTATCTGCGTAGCAAAGTGATGTAAGAGGGATATTATATCTAATTTGATGTAACAATATATTAAGGCTGGATAAAAGCTTGAACTGGTGGATTTTGTAAACACAGTAATAGGCTGTAGGATATAATTATACCACTTAAACTTAGCTAAACTGTTAGGAAAGCAGACCTAACCTGACTGGCTAATAGGATGAAAACAAACAAATTTGATATATATTTTTTTCTTCGTACTGTTGTATAAAATGGTTCCGGAAAAAATCTCACCGCACCCAATGCTAATGGGGAAATATGACCTAAGGCAGCTGCATCTAATGTGATTGCGTTGTGTTGGGGAATTTGACCAGTGAAGTTTTGTTAGGTGGAAGATTGCTAGTACTTCGTACTATAAAGTAAGGTGAAGAGTATATGTACTTACTATCATTGCACTTTGAATTACACGCTTCCATGGCACTGCAGTCGTCCAGGTCAAACGGTGGGGCAAGTGAACCAAGTACTCATTATGGAAAGTTTGATGAACATTCCACAGTGGCATTCTGGTGCATCCTGGCCTGGTGGAAGAAGAGACCTTAGTGTTTAGACCACGTAGAGGAGCCTTGTGTTATGACCGTGTAGAGGAGCCTTGTGTTATGACCGTGTAGAGGAGCCTTGTGTTATGACCGTGTAGAGGCCTTGTGTTATGACCGTAGAGGAGCCTTGTGTTATGACCGTGTAGAGGAGCCTTTGTTATGACCGTGTAGAGGAGCCTTGTGTTAGACCGTGTAGAGGAGCCTAGTGTTATGACCGTGTAGAGGGCCTTGTGTTATGACCGTGTAGAGGAGCCTTGTGTTATGACCGTAGAGGAGCCTTGTGTTATGACCGTGTAGAGGAGCATAGTGTTATGACTGTAGAGGAGCATAGTGTTATGACCGTGTAGAGAGCCTTGTGTTATGACCGTGTAGAGGGAGCCTTGTGTTATGACCGTGTAGAGGGAGCCTTGTGTTATGACGTGTGAGAGGAGCCTTGTGTTATGACCGTGTAGAGGAGCATTGTGTTATGACCGTGTAGAGATAGTGTTATGACCGTGTAGAGGAGCCTTGTGTTATGACCGTAGAGAGAGCCTTGTGTTATGACCGTGTAGAGGAGCATAGTGTTATGACCGTGTAGAGGAGCATAGTTATGACCGTGTAGAGGACATAGTGTTATGACGCAGAGGAGCATAGTGTTATGACCGTGTAGAGGAGCATAGTGTTATGACCGTGCAGAGGAGCATAGTGTTATGACCGTGTAGAGGAGCATAGTGTTATGATCGTGTCATTTTTGAACCCCTGATATAACTTCATAATAAGAACTATATCAGTATAAACAGGTGTAGGTCCCCTAATGGAATCAAACTGACCTGGGTTCACCAAAATCTTGTACGTTAATGTTGTCTTCAAACTGGTGCTAAGCGAACGTATTTAACTAGTCTCAACGTAATTTTGATGCTATTTTAAGATTTTTTATGCTACGTGAGTCAGGCCCATTCACATGTATCCAGTTACAAAGGAAAATTCAACGTGCAAACGTTTGATAAGACAGTTCCAAAACTCGAATTCTCAAAGGTTAGTACGAAAACATTTATCTATAACAGATCGGAATGTAGTTACAGTAGGGTCTCACGTGTAGACTTGATGCCATCTTCATCAACTTTTATCACAGACAACGTAATACAGCACTGCTTAATGTGTTCTTATATCCCATACGTGCGCATCTTGACGTGACGAGGAGGATGATATACTCACCAGGCGAGGGCAGCCAGGGGTGGTAAATAAGACGGTGCTCATGTACATTATGTGTTATGTGGATGGAGGAGTCTCAGTTACCTCTACATATGTATACAGTATATATACAGATACTAGTAACTAATCTCCCTCCAGTGCGTGTGAATCACCAGGTGTTTTATGCTTTATATAACGTAATATACTGGTCTTATACCTTATATAACGTTATATAGTGGAACCTCTCTTATACTTTATATAAAGTGTAATATTAGGCTACTACCTTACAAATGTGATACATTACTTCCATGCTTTATATAATGTACAATATTATTTCTGCTTGTATAACGTGCTATATTATTGTCTTCCTAATCTAACTTGTTATATAACTTTATGGAACTTTTCCTGAGTTGAATGTCCTGCTTGTGACTTTGGGGAGGTTGATCAGACGAGGGATAAAGTTCCTCCAACTCAATGAGAATCTTGGCCTGCTCAGGTCCTGCTACCATCCATCGTTTCGGGGCAGCAGGATTATCTTAATGGCACCACCAGATCCATTCGATTTCTTTACTTTTACTTTACTTTATCCTCTTCGTCAGCTCGTCAGCCGCTGGCGCTCAGTCACGTTGAGTCATGCTTGAGAATTACCGCTAAGTCTTCGTGAACCCAGTTCTTCAACACATTTCTGATTTCATGTGGAAGGGTTTCATATCCTCATGTCGATCGGGAATTTCAATGCGTACATGGATCACCTACACAGATAACGTTTTCTTTCTCTTACGTCGCTTCTACGTTATACACCACGAACATAATCATTAATCGTTTCTTTAAGGTAAAGTAAATATTTTAAACTTTATTTAACGTAGTCATCTTATAATAGTTAACTTTAGTGGATTTTTATTTTCAAATTTTGTTTCACAGTAATGTAATTGAGTCGTTGGTGATGTCCGTAGAATACTTGTAACATTACGTAAGTTGTGGGCGGGTCACTCGTTTTCTATACCGCCATATATACTCGACCGTCGGTCTGACGTCTGGCAGATTTCTCACAACTACATTTTTTATTCCTAGTCGGTTGGTGAATTTCAACTTTTATGTAATTTATGATTCAAGTATTATTTTTTCCACTATTTAAGTTATTTAATAATTGATATTATTTAAAGTATAATTGACGACGACGGGTGAGTTAATATTATTTTTCTCGAAAACACAAATAACAAGTTTGTTTCGCGAAACTCGACTTACCTCATTCTTTTTAAACTACTAGTTCTCCAAGTTGACGACCTCTTAAGCTTGCAAATGTTATAAGCTTGGATGATGACGTTACTAACACCTCATTACCAAACTCCAGAACTTGTGACGGAGATAATACAGCAGGAATTATTAAGACATAAACTCTGATTAAGTCATTATTCATTATACTGTAGTTATATTACTTATAATTATTATTATAAAATACATTAAACCTTTGGCCGAGGTATTGGTAGTTAATTTATCCAATAATTACAATAGCCATATCTGTCAAGTGGATGTGGATAAATGTATTCATTTAATATAATTATAATAAATTATTAGACACATTAGATTTAATTAATAAATACGGCCCCGTTTGTTGAATCAGGGTTCAGGAGTTTTGGTTTGGGATTCATACGTGTCTGCTCGGGTTCAGTGGACTCGGTGTTGTGGAGGTCCAGTGTTGAGAAATTGTTGAACCTTTTATGAGGTCGTACGTCTTGTCCTACAGATAGATACAACAGTGGATAGGAGGTAGATAGAAAGTTAGAGAGACAGATTTATAGAAAAATAGACAAATTAGATACGGACATAGATAGAGATAGACACTTAAGTTGTCGTATGCTTAAATTGATACGTAAATATATAGATAGATAGAGAGAAAGAGGAAGTGTAAGTATACAAATAATGGTAATAAATTGATTTAACCAAGGAAGACCACAATAGACTAAAAATACCTTGGACTAGAAGATGGTAGCTTTGTGGTTGTGTGGCGAGGAATTTTGTTGTTTTGTCTTCTCAGTTCTGTACATAAGCTCAGAACATACTAATTTTTTCCCTTGTACCTTTAAGATCTCATTTAAACTTCAGATTCCACTTATTATTTGTTTCTACTGTCATTGGATTCAGAAAGTGTTATTAAATTACCAGTTATTCATATTTATGGTATTTTATTAAAACAAACTTTGAAAAAAGAAGTAATCAATCAAGATAAGTACTTTTTACTTTATGCTTTTAATTACTTTTCAAACATCAGTCACTTTTACTTTTACTCGATTCTTTTGTAGGTCAGTAATTTTACTACTACTCAATTACTATTTTCGACAATTAATTCTACTTTTACTCGACTACAGATATTAGTAATTTGCCCACCACTGCTAAATAAAACACCCTATAGTTTACCTAACCTAATCTAACCTCTCCAGGTAGCATTAGGTTGTTTAATCATTAGGTGGATGATGCTGGCGTGTCTCCTCTTCAGGTGATTCTATTTTTTAGCCAGACTATGAAAACACATAAAGATATTTAAAATCTATTGAGTTACAAGTAATATGTAAAACCTACTGTACAGGAGGGTGTGGTAAACATTAACTGACCAGAAGTGGGGGCGATCCACCAATCACGAAGTGATTTTTTTATTTATTTATTGGGCAGCTCCTCACATCCTTGTGTAAGGTAAAGCACAGAAGCATTTACAGCGCCCAACAGGGAAGCATGCTAGGTTCATGCTTCTTGCCTTCTCATGAGTTAAAAGTAGAAGCCTGAAGAGTCAATGGTAGGCCTGAAGAGTCAATGGAGCTAGGTTCAAGTTATTGGAAGCTCCAACAACTTTCCCTGAATACGAATTCGCAACTTTCGATTTACAGCAGGTACCTACTTTACTGCTAAGGAACAGGGACCATAGAGTTGGAAGTGTGTCCAAACAATTTCCCACCGGCCCGGAATTGAACCCGTGACATCTGCTTAGAGGCAAGAGCGGTACCGCTCTACCCACCGGCGCTCCATTATTTGTATTGAGGGTCGAAAAATTCACCAATCAGATGAAAATATACTGACATCTTCAGCAAGGTAACAATAACAGTCTACTATATTGTATGTTTCTGTGCTGTGTGGGAGCGAAAATGGAAGTATGTGACCCGAAGGCGACGACGACTGGCTATAAGGCTGGGGGCACTGTAGACCATCGCCTACACAACTCTTGACACTTTGATAAATATCTTCACCCAGTGCTTTTCCTTGAAGAGGATGAGTCCCAAACTTCCTTTACACCGTTATCAGCCAAAACCATACGAACAAATACAGTCAGTTGAGCAGTGTCCACGTCAGTCTATTATCAAATTACATACTGAAGTATATGCACTTTTCTTATAATTGATCTTAATTCCTACAATTGACCATGTTTTCTGACAATGGCACGACTGTTACTGTACATACAATTTCAATTTTACTTTCAAACTCCTATTTTAAATGGAAACTAGTATAAAATCAAGAATTTTACATTACTTCCCAAGGAGCCCTTATGGCTACATAAAATGGCTCCGTGGACGCCATGACGCCCGCGGATAACAGGTTGGGGGTCATTGCTGGATTAATATTTTCCGACACAGTACTCGGCTGTCTTAACTTTTCCCAACTGTTAAGTTAATTAGGTACCCAAGAGGCGAGTGTTGTATCCACTCCCCACTGCACACTGCATTTCACGTGTTACCTCCCCCAAAAAGATGATTTGAAACAGAAAATAGCAGTAGAAAATTTTTCAGCTATTTATTGAGTGATGTCACATGTTAAGAGGTGTACAATAGGTTGAGTCGCTGTGCAAGGAACGTTGTGGGGGTAGGTGTAGGCTATAAGGGTCACTGCACTTAACGAAGTGGCCGCGACTACAGCACAGGTTGTTGATGCTGGACTCACCGTCATAATCCCAGGGACCGTTGCACTGGCGGGCGTAGCTGCACACCTGAGACGATAGAAAATGGTATGTAAGATTAATTAACTGAAATGAGTGGTGAAAATAAGAATTAATATATATATATATATATATATATATATATATATATATATATATATATATATATATATATATATATATATATATATATATATATATATATATATATATATATATATATATATATATATATAAATTTTGATCACGAAGATTAGCCCCAGTTTATTTCACCGGATAATTTAAACACCTTAATGCTACCTGAGGTCACAGGCTAGGTTAGATTAGGTAGGATAGGCGAGCGTTAGGGTGTCTCAGGTTAAAATTTATAACCTCGTAAACCGGTAGATATTGGTACCGGTATATTGGTGTGATAAACTAGATGGGGCATTAAAACCGGGTTGAAATTTTTATTACAACTATACCAGCTAAAAGTGGTATAATGGTCGGTATGCCGGCTTAAGAGGCTAAAAACATGGATAGATAGATAGATAGAGTTTGGTACACTGTGGATAGAGAGATTACTCACAGTCTCATCCCAAAGATCACCAACATTGTGTTTCTGGGCCATCTGTATACATATCTCCTGGCCCACGGTGTAGCCATTGTCTAGGCAGTTCAGATCTCCTCCGTTGGTGTAGGTGTCGTACTGTGACCGGCCGCCAAAAAGTACATATGAACAAAAGTAAATATAAATAAAAGTACACATGAACATAGCATATATTATGTACATGAACAAAAGTACACATGTGTTTAAAGACAGACACACACTTACTGATACTTACTGCTCTTGTTATCACACACACACACACACACTTTGTCAACACGTTCACCTCCATAGTATCACTTGTTACACGTGTTAAACACACTCCTGAACACACTCGTTAAACACACTCCTAAACACTCGTCAACACACCCGTCAACACACTCGTTAAACAACTCCTTAACACTCGTCAACACACTCGTCAACACACTCGTTAAACACACTCCTAAACACCTGTCAACACACTCGTTAAACACACTTAAACACTTCGTCAACACACTCGTCAACACACTCGTTAAACACACTCCTTAAACACTGTCAACACACTCGTCAACACACTCGTTAAACACACTCCTTAAACACTGTCAACACACTCGTCAACACACTCGTTAAACACACTCCTAAACACTGTCAACACACTCGTCAACACACTCACCTCCAGGGCACACTTCTTCTTGCACTTTTTGAAGGCGCTGCAGTCGTCGAGATCAAAAGGTGGCAGCCTGTGTACCCTATACCTCGTGGTAGTGAGTGATGAACATACCACAGTGGCACTCAGGGCGTCAGTTTGGGCCCTGAGCCACCACAGTGAAAGATAAATTCGTGTGATTATATAAAACAAATAAACCTGGCAACCTAAAACATGGGTTAAATTACTTAAATGAGGATGGGTTTATAGTTGAGTTCTGTTAAGTTGGTTTATTTAGTTTGGTTAGTTGGGACATGATTAGATAGGTTAAATTTTGGTTAAGTTTGTTAAGTTAGGATATGGTAATTTCTGTGTCCATAGGTTAAGTTTGGTTGAATTAGAGTTAGGTTAGGTTGGTTAGATGAGGTTTAGTTAGTTAAGGATTGTCAAGTTAGGTTGAGTTGCAAGCGTAAATTGCTTGGTTAACTTAGTTCAGCTGGGTAACGTTAGGTTAAATTAGGCAAAATTAATATAGTTTGAGTTAGATTTACAATGAGGTAAAACCAAATAAAATATGTAAATAAAAGTAAAAAAATTAATAAATAAAATAAAATTAAGTAGTCTAGTAGTGTGTGTGTGTGTGTGTGTGTGTGTGTACTACGAAAACATTTATACCTTAATCTATGAGTCTATTAATTAATGTCAAACCAGCTTAAACTTCTAAACGTAATCAAGTACACAGAACACACAGTATTCACCTCGGGGACCTAATTTTCCTATAGTTTCCTGTAGTCTTATATTACAACTTATTACAGTAAGAGTCTCAGTACAATATCAACACCACATTGGCTGCTATCTCTACTTGGGGACGACAGAACACATCCTGTTACAGTCCCAGTACTATTCTGATGGTATTGTCTTAACTCTTATCTTTATGTCGGGTTAAGGATAACTTAGGTAACTTAAGTAGCTTTGTTCTTACATTATACATATATTGGCCTTCTATAACCCCCCGTTTTGATCACCGCCTCAGGTTATAGCGATTATTTTTTTTTATTATATATTGGGCACTCTACATCCTGTGTATGGTGAAGCGAGCAGTTTACAGCCCCCAACAGGAAGTATACTAAGTTCATGCTATCTCACGAGTTAAGGGCGTTGAAGCCTGAAGAGTCAAGGGCGTAGAAGCCTGAAGAGTCAAGGGCGTAGAAGCGAAGAGTCAAGGCGAGAAGCCTGAAGAGTCAAGGGCGTAGAAGCCTGAAGAGTCAGTGGTTTGCGTCATCAAGTTATTGGAAGCTTCAACAACTTGTCCCTGAATACGAATTCGCAACTTTCTGACTTACAACAGGTACCTACTTTACTGCTAGGTGAACACATAAAATTTTGTCGGGTTATCGTGGACGACACATTTGACCCACCCAGCCAGGAGACGACAGCTGCCAGGAGAACAATGAGGGTGTTCATGGTGTTGTTGTGACCAGGCTGTGTGGGCCGAACACCTGCTGCACCTCCTTATATACTGATGCTGTGGCTATAACATTGCATAACTGAACCATAATTTGAGAGGCCTAATGTTCCTCCCTTTCTTCCCCACTCCTCCTCCCCTTCCCCACCCCTTCCTCCCACCCTCCCCACCCTTCTCCCACCTCCTCCCTCCCCTACCCCCTTTCCCTCCTACCTCCTCCCTCCCTACCCCTTTCTCCTACCTCCTCCCTCCCCCACCCCTTTCCCTCCTACCTCCTCCCCCACCACCCTTTTCCTCCTACCTCCTCCCCCTCCCCTACCCCTTTCCTCCTACCTCCTTTCTCCCCTTTCTACCTCCATACCTCCTTCATTTTTTGACCCTTAAACTGGATCACGTGAAGATAATCATTCCAGATAATTTCACCTTAAGATTATCATCTCAACCCAACCTAACCAACACAGAATTAACCGACTTACTTTAGGTTTGGGTGGTATATAATATATAACAGGTCTCCAGGTAGGTTGGAGAGAGTTAGGTTAGGTTATAAAATGTAACCTTCTGGCAGGATTCTCAAGGATTTTTAAATGTGCTTTCTTCGGGCACTCTAGAGGTGGTGATATAGACCAGGGCCAAACTTACTATGTAATGGATAGATATTCACCTGACACAATTATCGTAACACGTGATTTAAGAGGAATTTTCTGATGTAACTATGGAGTAAAAATAATTATATACCTTTTTTTTTTTTGGATGTTATGAACTCTTAATTCTAAATGGTGGTGGGGGTTAGAGTTAGGTTAAGGTTAGGTTAAGGTATAGAAAGATACTTGATAACAAATATTACAGATTAGAATGAGTTAGAGATAATTAGGTGAATGTTAGTTAAGATTATGTTAGAATTAAGGGTTATGTTAGAATTACGTTAGGGTTATGTTAGAACAGTTAGGATTATGTTAGAATTAGTTAAGATTATGTTAGAATTAGTTAGGAAGATTAAGAATGAGTTAGGATTAGCCTCTTCATTGTCTGAGTGTAGGACAAAGCCCTCTAGGACAAAAAGCCCCCTAGGACAAAAGCCCCCTAGACAAAAGCCCCTAGACAAAAAGCCCCCTAGAACAAAAGCCCCCTAGGACAAAGCCCTAGACAAAAGCCCTAGAACAAAGCCCCCTAGAACAAAAAGCCCCCTAGAACAAAAACCCTCTAGAACAAAAAGCCCCTAGAACAAAAGCCCTAGGACAAAAAGCCCCTAGGACAAAAGCCCCTAGAACAAAAAGCCCCCTAGAACAAAAAGCCCACTAGGACAAAAGCCCCAGGACAAAAAGCCCCTAGAACAAAAAGCCCCCTAGAACAAAAGCCCCCAGAACAAAGCCCTAGGACAAAAGCCCCCTAGGACAAAAGCCCCTAGGACAAAAGCCCTCAGGACAAAGCCCCAGAAAGCCCTCTAGAACAAAAGCCCCCTAGAACAAAAGCCCCCTAGGACAAAAGCCCCCTAGACAAAAAAGCCCCCTAGAACAAAAGCCCTAGGACAAAGCCCCTAGACAAAAGCCCCTAGGACAAAAGCCCCTAGACAAAAGCCCCAGAACAAAAGCCCTAGAACAAAAAGCCCCCTAGGAACAAAAGCCCCTAGACAAAGCCCCTAGACAAAAGCCCCTAGAACAAAAGCCCCTAGAACAAAAAGCCCCATAGAACAAAAAGCCCACTAGGACAAAAAGCCCCCTAGGACAAAAGCCCCTAGAACAAAAGCCCCCAGAACAAAAAGCCCCTAGAACAAAAGCCCACTAGACAAAAAGCCCCTAGAACAAAAAGCCCCTAGAACAAAAGCCCCCTAGGACAAAAGCCCCCTAGGACAAAAGCCCCTAGAACAAAAGCCCACTAGGACAAAAGCCCCCACGACAAAAGCCCTAGAACAAAAGCCCTAGGACAAAAGCCCCTAGGACAAAAAGCCCCCTAGAACAAAAGCCCCTCAGAACAAAAGCCCCCTAGGACAAAAGCCCCTAGAACAAAAAGCCCTAGGACAAAAGCCCCTCGACAAAAAGCCCTAGAACAAAAAAAGCCCTAAGACAAAGACCCCTAGGACAAAAGCCCCTAGAACAAAAAGCCCCTAGAACAAAAGCCCTAGAACAAAAAGCCCCCTAGAACAAAAGCCCCCTAGGACAAAAAGCCCTAGGACAAAAAGCCCCTAGAACAAAAAGCCCCTAGACAAAAGCCCTAAAACAAAAGCCTCTAGAACAAAAAGCCTCTAGGACAAAAGCCCCAGGACAAAAAGCCCCCTAGAACAAAAGCCCCCTAGGACAAAAGCCCCTAGAACAAAAAGCCCCCTAGGACAAAAGCCCCTCAGGGACAAAAGCCCCTAGGACAAAGCCCACTAGGACAAAAAGCCCTCTAGAACAAAAAGCCCTAGAACAAAAGCCCCCTAGGACAAAAAGCCCTAGAACAAAAAGCCCCCTAGGCAAAAAAGCCCACTCCCTAGAACAAAAGCCCCTAGAACAAAGCCCACTAGGACAAAAGCCCTAGAACAAAAAGCCCCCTAGAAAAAAGCCCCTAGGACAAAGCCCCCTAGAACAAAGCCCCCTAGACAAAAGCCCCAAAAAGCAAAGCCCCTAGAACAAAAAGCCCCTAGGACAAAAAGCCCTAGGAACAAAAAGCCCCTAGGACAAAAAGCCCCCTAGAACAAAAGCCCCCTAGGACAAAAAGCCCCCTAGAACAAAAAGCCCCCCCGAGAAAGCCCCCTGACAAAAGCCCCCTAGGACAAAAGCCCCCTAGAACAAAAAAGCCCCCTGGAACAAAAGCCCCCTAGACAAAAAGCCCCTAGAACAAAAAAGCCCCCTAGAACAAAAAGCCCACTAGGACAAAAGCCCCTAGGACAAAGCCCCCTAGAACAAAAGCCCCCTAGAACAAAAGCCCCTAGAACAAAAGCCCACTAGACAAAAGCCCCCTAGGACAAAGCCCACAGGGAAAAAGCCATCTAGGACAAAACCCCTAGAACAAAAGCCCCCTAGAACAAAAAGCCCACTCTGGACAAAAGCCCCTTAGGACAAAAGCCCCTAGACAAAAGCCCCTAGGAACAAAAGCCCCTAGGACAAAAAGCCCCTAGAACAAAAAGCCCCTAGAACAAAGCCCCAGGACAAAAGCCTCTAGAACAACAAAAAGCCCCTAGAACAGCCCCCTAGGACAAAAAGCCCTAGAACAAAAGCCCCCTAGAACAAAGCCCCCTAGAACAAAAGCCCTAGAACAAAAAGCCCCCTAGAACAAAAAGCCCACTAGGACAAAAGCCCCCTAGACAAAAAGCCCCTAGAACAAAAAAGCCCCTAGAACAAAAGCCCCTAGAACAAAAAGCCTCCTAGAACAAAAGCCCTCTAGAACAAAAAGCCCTAGAACAAAAGCCCTTGAGACAAAAGCCCCTAGGACAAAAGCCCCTAGAACAAAAGCCCCCTAGAACAAAAGCCCACTAGGACAAAGCCCCTAGGACAAAAGCCCTCAGAACAAAAGCCCCTAGAACAAAAGCCCCCTAGAACAAAAAGCCCCTAGGACAAAAGCCCCCAGAACAAAGCCCTCTAGGACAAAAGCCCCCAGGACAAAAAGCCCCTAGAACAAAAAGCCCCTAGAACAAAAGCCCACTAGGACAAAAAAGCCCCTAGGACAAAAAGCCCCTAGGACAAAGCCCCCAGGACAAAAAAGCCCCCTAGGAAAGCCCCCAGAAC